TAAAAGATACGAAACAAAATGATGTTTGGCACAATTTTTAGAGTTATTTTAAACTTCAGTATTACTACCGAACCCAAAAGTTAACATTTGTTAAATTAAGATTTCAAAGCTATCCCTAACCTGAAACATTATTTCTTTAAAAAAAACAACTAATAAAAAGGATAAATATTTAGCAATAATTTTACTCAATATTTCCGTCAACTTTTTCCAGTGCAAAGGTCTGAAGAACACAGCAAAAMTCAAGAGTTGAGAAAAATACCTGCTTTGTGTCCTTGTGCATCAARGCCCTCACGTCACTTTTGCTCAAATGTTTTGTGGTTTTTAAGGTGTTGTGAGTTACAGCAGTCACAACAGTTTATACCYTAGTACGCTCTAACTAAACACAACACAGGCACAGTTTACAGATATAAGTACACTTCTGTAGATCTCACTGAAACAATCCTTCACCTGTGGTGAAACGTGATTCAGTTAAAAGCAATTGTCTCTGATGTACATCTGCAGCATCTGATGAACAAAAAAAACGTGAAAAAATAATGTCTATTTTACAGATATTTGCTAAAATWATTGAAAGGTGTTCATGCCTTTAAAGGAACTACTAATATTTGCATTATAATTATGTTTCAAAGTAAATGTTTGACATTAATTTGTATAACAAGTGTTTGAAATGTTCATTCTGTTTAAAGTAAACCATGCCACTGTTTGGTATTTTTGTTTGGACCATCTGAAGATGGAGTAAAGAAGCTGTGGGAGGAGCTCAGAAGAGTTATATATGTTAAAAGTTAAAGCTAAAAAATAATCTCTAAGCAGCTTCATCTGATCGTTGCTGCCAATATTGTTCAAAAGTATYAGGTTTATGAGACTGTAACCAACTTCAAGACATAGACGCAAGAGGAAATGCAACCCCATGTTGYCGGGTGGTGCAGATAGTTTAAAAAAAAAGAGGTTTCTGATTGCACCATCCATCCCATTTTAAATCATTAGGAGGCTCAACTAATGACAGAAAAAGACCTAAAAARAGGCCCCAGGAGTTCTTGAAAGAAGTTTGTGGGACCGATGAGACGCACTCAGTTGTGTTTCCTTAATAAATGTAGAGATTTAGCCACAAACTGTAACAGGAGCTCAACATGAATTTTGCACTTCAACTTCAAAATGAACTTCCTTTCAAGGAAACTCCAAACGATCAATCATACGTGACAAAACACACGTCTTCCAGAACCATAAATTCCTCTTTTGCTTTGTTCGGCTTACATAACCTGAACGTTTTATCATCTGTGCATCTTTGATCACCCTGATAACAACAAACATCTTTGTTTTGGATATCAGCTTTACCTCTGACTCGGTCACATTGAATAAAAAAAAAACAATCTATTATTTCAGTTTTGGATCATTAGGAACAGATGTTTTGTGTTTTCTTTTTACTCCTCTTCCCACTCAGTTGATGTGAAGCTCTGTGTCCCAATTGCATAATACTGAACATGCAAACTTTGAAAGACTTTTTCTTGATGATCCAACTTATCAGTTTGCATATTTGAGCTGAAACGAGTTTTTCTGTGCCACAGTTCAATGGAAAGCAGAAATAGAAGTCATTCACAGTTGCACATGTTGCATCACAATGCAGCTCTGTGCCAGAACACGCTGTTACATCCACTGCATATTTGTTTTATGGGATTGGGACACAGTGTCCGTCTCCTGCTCTCCTCACATCGGTCAGTCCTACCAGTTTGCTGTGTTGTTTCTTTTCTACTTTCCCTAAATGCAACTTACTTTAAGCATGCATCAACATCCTGCAGTTCGACTAAAAGCAAAGCAAAATAACGATAACGATAACCCATTCTCAGCCAGTACCGTCTCCCTCTGATGTACACCCAGACTGCACGGCCGGCTCATGTTTAAAGACTAACATTACAGGGAGCACATGAGAGAGGAGCCCGTCCTCCAGTCGGGTGCCTCTCCCATCGGTGTCTGTTTTCTATTGTGTGCATCTGGTTGTAGTGTGTGCAAAATTTTAAATGGCTTTGTTCCTTCATCTTAACATTTTTCATTTGATAGTTGAAACTGGTCATATTTTTTAACCCAGTTGGTTCTGATTGTTTTTGGGCATATATGTTTTCTTTTTTGTCCCCCCCTCAGATTATACCTAAATCTCAGTGTGAAAGATTTTTTTCTATATTTTTACTTTTTTTGGATTTGGAACTCCTTCAGTGTCTAACTTGTGTGTTTCTCAGCAAACACTGATGTAAAATAACTAAAAATCAAAACAATAATCTTCATTTCAGGTGTTTTTTAAAAACGCGTGCAAAAAATAAAAAAAACCCACAAGTTCGGATCTGAGGCAGTTCCAGATCCAGTTATCACATGACAATTTTAGGATTTTTAAAAACAATTTTTGATACTATTTTGACTGTAAGAACAATACAAACTGAATTGCATGGCTAAGAAGTTGCAGTTTAGGGTTTGTAAGACATGTCAGTGTTAGAGTTCTTCTGTTTTTTTTCTGTAGATGGGCATGTATATTGCTCATTGTTTGTATATCCCCATCCCTTCCTTACAGCCAAAAACGTTAATGCCGCCCGACCGCTTCGTACTGCCTTTACATGGACATGGCAACTGACTTACACTGTCACCCTCATCATCCTCATTTCCTCTGTAGTATGTTCATAGGTCCAACCCCTTCTTCACCTCCTCCCTTGTCTTTAGAAATATTGAAATATAAAGTCATCCATCCATTCTACACTAAAGAGCAAATTAAGCAAAAACTGCAACATGGATAGAGTTTAGACATCACTGAAGTCTCTTGCTATGGAAAAAAATGCAGATTTTTTTTTTGTAAAGATAAAAATTAGATAATTTACAAGGAAAGAAACAAAACTTAAAAAACAGAATTATGGTGTTTTATTTTTTATGTTATGTGCTGTGGATGTATGTGCTGTTGCCTCCCTGTACCGTCATGTTTTAAGATAGAACTCATTCAGCAGTGGATAAAAATGATCAAGTGGCTATCCAACATTCTTACACAGCTTTTCCTTTGTAAATTTTTTTTCCTCTTGCCTAAATCATGCGGGCAATTTGTTGATGTAAGTTGACAACACACACTATGCATGTTGTGATTCTGACTTTGAACGGGTTGTTAAAGAAGCAGTTTGTAGAATGTGACACTTCTTAAAAATAAGGTTTTTCTGTGAGTATCTGGGTGACCAGATGTTCCACTTCGTGCAAAAGTGCACAACGTTTTTGGTCTTTTACCTGATCACACTGACTGAGAAAGTGTTCCACATGTTGATTGGTCTTTAAAATATACGTCCCGCTTTTACGTCCTTCTTTTTTTAATTTATATTGGGGTCTGTACATAATTACTTTTTAATTTTGGAAGAGACTGAAACTGGTGGCATCGATGTGTGATGGTGCTTCACCATTTAGAGCTTTTTAAGTTAAAAGTAAAATTTGAAAACTACCTCTTAACTGGCAGTACATGTAGGGAGGACGTGTGATTTCACCTGGTGCAACCAGGTAAAGCTCTGGTACCAGTGTCCATCTTTGCTGCCTTTAGCTCTGCTTGATGGGAACTTTGGTGGCCCTGGTCAGCCTACAGATATCTCACAGCAAAGTGTCCAAACGTCACGGTTCTACCTTTTCTGAAAGCTTCAAACTGCATCTTTGATCAACATTTGATCACGTGAAAACTGGATGAAAAGATCTTTGTTCAGTCATGATTTGTGTGCTTGTGAATGGACATGTTTGTGGTTATCTGTGTGTGTGTGTCATGTTTTGTGTTTGGTGATAAATGGCTTGAATGACTCTAAGTGTTTAGTAGCAGCGGATACTTTTCATGTTAATGAGTTCGTAGCCTCCAGTTATRTTCACTCCAGTGAAAATAATCGAATCTATAAAATCACAAGTTAAACAAATTTTCCCTGGCAGAGATGCTATTGTGAGAAAACATAAAGAACTTTCTACAGCACAATAAAGTCTTTTATTTTGTCATCTAATTAGTCATCCAACATGTGTTTGTCATGATTACATAAGTCTTGTTAATTAAGATCCTGGTTTGTTTCTATACAGTCTGCTCAAATTAGTGACTGTAAATGTTTACATGTGCAAACAAGCTCAGTTTCTGGGAGTTAATGTATGCACAAATTACAAGTTTTTTATGAATCATCTCTGCGTCAGAGGACTGTTTGTTGAACTAAAACCTTGTTTTTATTGTCTAATGAACAATAAAGAGGTGTAAGAGGCCGTTATCAGAGAGATGCTAAACCTGATGCACAATTTGAACTTTGTCCATTTTTGCATCGACTGTTCTTGACTGAGACGATGAATTAACATTAAAAACTAATTAAAATCTACAGTAATTTAAAATGTAACTAATTATACTGCCTTATCCTAACCATGGAGCTGTGCTTCAAAAGCTTCAGTAAGTGATTTTTTGGCTCCCTGCTCGCCTCTTAAACCTCTTTACGTCACGTTTTTGGAGAGAACTTTAAAGGGATCCCTGGTTAGTTGTAACATTAGACTTTATTTGATAAACATTTATTCTAACTGTAAAAAAAAACTGTAAAAATACTGTAGGATGTTTTAGTTTTAATAATTTTTTTATTAAAAGTTTAAAAACATATAACACAGACGGAGCCATTTTATTTACACACAAAGCATTCTGGGTAAATGATGACGTGGATAGGTCATCGGTGCGATGCTGCTAGCGAGCTATATCCACCCTGAAGGTTAATCTTGGACAATATCTGATGATCGACTCTTTTAAATGAAACCAGAGAGCGTTGACAGAGAGGAGAAGGTAGAAATGACTCAGCCTGGAACTGAAAATATAGATGGAGGACAACAGTATTTTTACAGTCTTTATTTACAGTTAAAATAAATGTTTATCAAATAAAGTCTAATGTTACAACTAATCAAGGACCCATTTAATAAATGGAACGTATTTGTTTTCCTTCATAAACCAAAGAGTTTCCTTTTCTTGTTACTCCATGTTTTCTGTTCTCCTCCAGGAGCTGAGTTAGTCATCAGATCCATTAGCGCACCCCCCCCTGTAGCTCCTCGTGCACCCTTCATTCCCACTCCCTCTACCCACCACCCACTCCTCACCATTATTGAGACCACCAAAGAGTCCTTGTCCAAGGCCACTGAGGCGGGGGTACCTTGCTTGTCGGACCGAGGCAGCGATGATTGTGATGAGGATGGCTTGGTGATGTCGGGGTATGGCTCTGGGAAAGCGTTGAAGTCTGCCCCCACTGACGGTGAAGATGTTTACTCGACCTGCTCCCTGGTAACCGTTCAGACCTTTGCCCACATCACCCGTTCAAGGTGACTCCAAAGCAAACGCACCCAGGACTTTTAGCCCTGACAAACCTCCCATCTTCAGACGCAGTAGGACTACCAACATCCCAGTAACCGCCGACCAGAGCCGCACCACTCCCACCTCTGCCTCCACCGCAAACCTCCACAAATCTCTGGCAAAACACACAAAAAATAACCGCAAGCTAGAACCCCAGCCCAATAATGTTGCTTCCATTGCCCACATCCTTTGAGGTAGACAGCACCAAGCTGAGGGGCCCATTAATAATCTCCCCAATGTTCCATAATATACCCACAGCACTCCCCACAGAGCCAGGCGTCAGGCGAGTCCCGGGGCCCTCGGAGGTGGTCCGTGAATCTAGCAGCACCACCGGGATGGTCATCGGAATAGTGGCGGCCGCAGCCCTGTGCATCCTCATTCTGCTGTACGCCATGTATAAGTACAGGAACAGGGACGAAGGCTCCTACCAGGTGGACGAGAGCCGGAACTACATAACCAACTCCGCCGTGCAGAGCAACGGCGCTGTGATGAAGGACAAACAGCAGAGCCTGAAAAGCAGCAACAAGAGACAGAAAAACAAGGATAAGGAGTACTACGTGTGACTGTGAGACTCGACAGAGCGAAGGCAGAAGAGAACTTTTCTTTTCAGTTTCCCTGTGAGGAGCTGTGACAAATGATGGTATAACATGGAACTTGAATAATCCTATACTGTGCTGAGTAGTTGAACTGATATGTACTGTAACATAAAGCACACTTAATATTAAGCGAAACGCTTAATGACAAGGTTAAATAGCAACTTTAGAAACCTTACACTTTTATCTGGTCAGAGACGTCGTCAGTATAGAAATATTTCACGGCATCATTCTCCTAAGTGACTTTTAGAGCTACGTGATCCTTGGCATTAAACAATTTTTTGTGAAATTGTTAATTACAAAAGGCTCATTATCTTATACGTTTTCCAGCATGTAAGCAACAAGTAGTGCTGAACGAGAGGGGGTCTGGCACACAATGGTTGTAAAAGTACAAAAGACTCTTGTATCAAAATATTACAAATTTTTATGGTTTATAAATAATATAAGTGTGGTGTCTTAATTATTTTTTGCTTAAAGCAAAAGAAAAAAAGGCAAAAAGAACAGAAAGACAACTATTTCTGTGTATAAAAAAATGAATTCAAGTGAGCCAATCGCKGAGGGCAGACCTCATACCATCTGTTTGCTCTGGCATCTAATTCACCACAATTATTCTCATTGTCTGACGGACACAGTGACTCTCTTTGTGGAAAGAATTTGACGGTTCTCTTGGTAAGAAGCGCCTGATTGTAAAATGCATGCCATCCTGAATCCACAGTAAGGTACAGTACAGTAAAAGTCCAGTATAGAGTGTTTCGACTTGGATCGTGCAGAAAAAAACACTTCTTCATTTCCAGATCAGGAACTTTCTGAACCCCTCACAGAAAACGGTCTATTATCGCTGCACAGCCAGTGGTGGTTTTACCTTTTTTAATTTATATTTTTTATTTCTTTTTTTTTTCTTTTTGAAGAAGTGTGTGTTGGTTCATTGCCTATCATTCTCTTTTTCTATGGAGGTGTTAGGAAGAAGACAAATGCAGTACTACGACACTGTTAACAAATGTGTATACAGAAATAAACCAGATGTTGAAAGTGTGAATTCTATCTGCTGTCACAGTCAACTGTGTCAAAAAAATATATAAATTTGTTTACATATTTTATTACATGCTATCTGTTGTACTTTGTAGGTAGTAAATTGTACATATACCATGACAGTTGTCATTTTTAGTACCTCTATTGTACAGACTGAAGATATGATTTATCAACAAAATCTATTAACTGTTAATTTACATGAAGAAAGACTTTAACCAGACTGTGAAGAATCATATTGATATTCATAAAGAATAAAAATGTATTGTTAGCCTAGAAATCTACACAGATGTTTCTAAAGTTGCATGAATATTTAACTACAAATACAAGGTGCCCTTTCTTCTCTACCATGGCGTTTTTGTCCGGGGGTACACTGATTTCTCCTTTGTTTTTTGTTTTTTTTTGGGGGGGGGGGGGTTCTTTGCACTTTTTGCAAAGCGACAGAGCATTAGTATGACAAAAAGACAAAACTCTAAAATCTATCCAAGGATGGGGGTTTTTCACTTTTTAAAGGGGTCGATCACCTCGAGTCACGAGCATCACCTCTTTGTTTTCACATGTTCCCATTTCTGCCATWAAGAGGCGGAGACATCTTAGAAACCATATTTTCTGTTACAGCCGTTACTTTTCATATTTTTTTCATCATTTTGATAAATAAAATGTTTTTTTTTCTCTCTGAAATTATTTTTGTTCTCATTGGGTTAAGAATTATAATCTTGTGGTTAAACTTTTTATCTTAAGAAACACGTTTGCTTATTTTTTTAAGCATAAAATCTCCTGAATCATGCAAACGTGAAATAACAACATGACTCTGCTGAAATGTGTTTAAAAAATTTCTAATCACTGATGTGTCCAGCTGGAACAAATTACTTACACTCGCACCATCGACCAAGTGTAAACTAGATTTCTTTGCGCAAACATTTCTTTGTTTGTATGAACTCCTGGAAAAAGAGCCAAACATCCCATCACTCCAGCAGCAACATGAGGATTTCACMTTGTTCCCAGACTTTGCATTATACAATGTTTCAGTGTATAGAAGACTAACTGGTGACTCAGCTGCAGTTTTTCATTGAAGTCCCACTAAATTTAAGTTTGTGACAAAGTGGGCAGCAAGTTGAGTGGCAAAGTTTTGAACGGCCAGTTCTTGAAAAATCAGCTTTTTTGTGTGCATGGCTTTATAAAAAGACCACACACACTGATTACAATGAAGATAGGCAGATTCTGACCCCTTTTTTTTAATAATTATTTTTTATCTGCATGTTTTTGAGACTTGGATATTTGGGACTGTCGCCTCAGATGTTTTATCACAGGAGAGTTCCTGTACAAGTGGTAAAATACAGCTAAAGTGCCTACATTTTATAGAAAATAATTAAAAAAAATAAGCTTGGAGACGTTCGTGCAGCTAACTGTTTTAAGAGAAAACTTGTTGCACTAATTTCTGTTCTAGATTCAAGGACCAAGATTGTGACACTGCAACTCACACGGGGAAGCTGAACAGATGCAGTGAGCTGCTCAGGRGCAGCGAGTGGGTCTGATTTAATTAATTGACCTGTTTTCTTGAGATCCACCTTTGCCCTTTGAACTCATTTCAGAGACCTCCTTGAAAATATCATTTACCAGGTAATTGCCAACGGTCCTTCAACAGCTTTTTATTTAGTAAAACTATCAGTTTTTAAACCACAAACACTTTTGATGTGGCATTCTGTCCTGCTATGAGCAAAGCCTTAATGTTTTGTTTTCTGTTTGTAATTCTTGTTATGGTGAGTTTCTTTACCTTACTTTTGTGCACCAGGTCTCTTCAACTCATCCTACAGGTAAGCACTGCCTTTCATCTCTAAACATTGAATCATAGCAGAGCAAACCTTTCCTGGTGCAGAGGGGGATTTCAGACCGACAGCTGTGGCCTTGATGGTAGTGATGTGCAGATCGATACTGAAATATCGATACTACCAATACCAGAACTTTATATTCTAGAATCAATACTAAAATCAAAATATCGATACTTTGATTCTTCAGTTATTTCACATAATGTATATCATTAACAGGAAAATAGTGGAAAATAACTAAACTATTCAAATCTTGTCTAAATCAAATGTGGTTGGAAGGAACTACTTTTTCTTCCGCTTGGGTAATGCATGCGCACAGTGGCACATGCTCAGTCACTCAGTCTGTACAGGTATGGCAGGTTATTTTAACATAAAATCTGCTTTGTCTGACTGTAATTAAATTCTAGTTCCCAAACTTTTTTCATGCCACGGCCCCCCAAAACAGGATTAGTTCTGGCCAAGGACCTTCTTACAAACCCACAAACAATGCTACAAAATATACAAAGTAACAACTTTTAGACTGTTTTCTCTCACTTTTATTCACTATTCAAAAATTATATTTTTTTAGAATAAGAATTGTGCTAAACAAATATAAGTTTAGTGTTAGAAAGACTTTTAAATTAAATAAATTACTATGTCATGTATTATTTATAAAGCAGTTGAAAAATGCTGCTTTACCAGGCACATTATGTGTGTTAGCACAAAGTGTCAGTATCAGATCAGTGTCACCGATACCAGCCAAATTTTACTCTGTTTCAGTATCGGAAAGAAATTTGGCAGTATCGAACATCACTGCTTGATGGGGCTCTGGCCACAAGTTGAAGGTGACAACAGAGATGCTGAAGACGGTACATTTAGAAGCAGTACAGCTCCCTGGGGCTGCAGGGTGGTGCGTCTTTCCACTCCCTCAAACAAGAAACCTCCACTGGGGCCTCTCTGCATGGAGTTTGAGTCTTCTRCTTGTGCATTTGTGGGTTTTCTCCAAGTGTTCCAATTTTCCCATTCTCACAGCCCTAAAACATGCAGGTAAGAGTAACTGGTTATTCCAAATTAACCTGTTAGACATTATTTCTCCTTCAGCACACCTGATTCAAATCAGTAAACAACAGGCTTCTGCAGAAATTGGGATCATGATCAAAGGATAATTCAGTCCCTGAACAACAACTAAAACATACACAAAGTGGTACTCGGTGTTGGACAATTTAACATAATTTTGGACATTTGATTATGTTGTTCTTGTGCATCTTTAATCTCTGAGAGGATACCTTCCCCGCTACTAAAACTCAACCATTTCTTCAGTTTGCTGTCAGATCCTCCGGTAACTTGCTGCCTTGTTTGAGGACGATGTTTGGATTTCTGTTAATACCTATGAAAGAAGTGACTGTGTAAAAATTACATTAAGTTCGTAAGTTAWTCTTCATAATCTCATAAGTTCAGCTGCTGACACAAACAGCTTGAACACAATGGGAAGAGTGAATTTTCAGCTAAATTACAAGAATAGTTGAACTGATACAGTTTAGTTTTAGTGAACAAAGTAACTAAACAGAAAAGTTCAGCTCAAACCTTTGATGAATCTGACAGTGAAGACGGAATAAGATCACAAAATAATTTGTTTACTTTGTGTCCCAACTAATCTCTGTAGAAACCAGAACTTTTTATTGTTGTTCGTCTAAGGAATGTGTGTTTTCTGTTGCATTAATTAGAAGCTGTAAAAACAAGTAAACTGTTTTCTCGTTTGTTTCACTGGATAAAGTCAAATGAAGTCACGGCACGCAGCTGAGAACAGCAGGCACAAATACTGTTTTAAGTTTCAACATATTTGCATGTGAAGTTTTTGATTATTTGCATCTGTGTCCCCTTTTTTTAAGAACAGAGCTGAGTCATTTTGTCTTTTTATTGTGGTGAGATAAAATATGCCAGCCGTCCCGGAACAATCCTCTTGTTTTCTAACACAACCAAATCATGCTTTTGGTCTGATGAAAACTTTATAGTTTTTTTTTTCTTTTTTTTCTGATCTGTGTGTCACCACAGCATATATTTTTAAAAGAAAGTTTTAAAGTTGCTCCAAATCATGTCTCCAATCTCAACACCTTTCCTGTGGTTTTATGCAACCACCAGATTTGTCAAGATCAAACAAGATGTTAAAGGTCCAGCGAGGATGGTGTAGTGACATCTAGTGGCACCGAATGGAAACTGCAGACATCTGAATTAAAATTACCAGATCTGCTTTGTTTAACTGACTTTTTCGTCTGACTTTAATTTTGAAATTTCGTCATTTTGGACCCGTCTGTGGCGTTCATATTATAATTTCAATAAATCTTTTATATTATCTTTGTTTGCCGATTGAAGTTCCACAAAAATAGAATTTTAGCCAAAACCGAAATTTTCTCGTGCAAAAAATGTTTGTGGAAACGATCTCTGTTTCCTTTAAGACCAACATCGATGCATAAACACCCAAGTTTTTGCATTTTCTAGTCTTTCAGCAGACCTTGTGCCGCTAATTAGTTTCTTTCTTCTCTCTGTTCTCTGTCACACGTCCAACATTACTGAGAGTCTGGCTGGACTCTGTGTCCTTTTCAAGAGCAGCGAGACAGCCTGTTTCTTGTAAACAATGGGTGTGATTGCCTAGAATTGGCAACAAAAGATTTTTTTTTTCCCTGACCACTTCCTGGGGAAACTGCACTGTCCTGGATTTGTTGTTACAAATATCAGATGACAGCTGAGGGAGTAGAATGGGGAGAGGATGGAAAAATAATAGCTCAAAGTTGTATGGAGGAGATTTTTGTGAGTAGAACAGGGTGGGTGCCTGTCCTAATGTATTCTTCACTGCTCTTTATCCTCCTCCAGAGATTCAACCTTCTACAATCTGGAAAAAAGGTTCAGCCAGGGTTAACGTACAGAAGCTCAGAAGCTTTATGTCACATATTAAAGTCTCTTGATGGACATGAATGTTGGATCTTGACCTTTGCAAAACAAATCAAAGAGAAAACAGAAAAAATGGCAGCTTTCAGAAGAAGGTGGACYAATAAAAAAATAACGAGTCCAACTTGGAGGCTCCACACCCTCCCTCTCTGCTATGCTTGGTCCATTCCTCTTACAGGAAGCTGGCAATTATCAGCTAATGGTTGAGATTATTGGTTGATTTCGTTCATATGTGGTAGATTTCTGCAAAGTTACTCTTTTTTGTATCATTCATGAATGAGATAACTCAAAAGCTGAACCAGTTGTTCTCCAAAATCTATAGTTAGAAAAAAGTGGGAGATATTAAAGTTGCAAAGAAAGATTTTGCAGGTTGTCAGTGGCAGCTGGTGGTGATATAGTGTGAGCTAACAGATAATAAAACCTCCCWTGTCTCCTTCAAACAGCAATCATGGAAAACAGAAGAGAGATTAACCCATCCTTTTACAAGCCACAGAAAAACTTTGGTTTTGTCCGTTTTATTGAACCAGGCAAGCCTCATTGGGATCGCAGATCTCTTTTTCGTGTTTTTAGGGGTGGGGGAAACCGGAGTACCCAGAGAAAACCCACGTAAGCGCGAGGAGAACATGCAAACTCTGCACAGAAAGACCCCAGGTCCAAACAGGGGATCGAACCTTCTTGCTGTGAGTCATCGATGCTAACCACTGAGCCGTCGTGCTGCTTCTTTCTGCAGGATCGTTGGTCTATCCTTCCCGACCTCTTCACTTCCTGTTTTTCCTCCAGAGACATGAAAGATAACAGGTGAGGAATTAAATAATCCATCGTTTATATTAATTTTGCTCATCGTCAAACCTGCTCAGCCTATGCCAAACCATGCACTCATGCACAATATGGTACACTGACCCTGAGCTGGACAAAATTAGCCCCAATAAGCAGCAAATTGAGGGGGCGGGACAAGACGACTGTCAATCATTCTGTATCGTGAAAGGCAGGAAATGAATGGGGCTGTGAAAAGTTAGCCCTTTGGAAAGATTCTGGGATTTTCTCCAGGTTGTTTGGCAACAGTTTTGTCAAAAATGTGACAGAAAGTTTTCAACCTGTATCTATAAGGTAGTTTGGCATTTCTATTGTAAACACCAGGGAGGACTTAGCTTTACTAGCCCACTTATACCAGCCGTCCCTGCAGGTTACATTAACTTTTTTTATTTGTATCAGTATAAACATGGACTTGTGACCTGTCCACTGCAAAAAACTGTCCACCTAACCAAGTTTTAAAACCTTGTATCCAGCCAAAATGTATTTTGATCTTGTTTTGAGACTGATTTACTAAACAAGAACTGATTGTGTAAGAATAATAATCTTGTTTTCAGAATGTGTAAGATTATTCATCGTTAGCCTGAAAATTTGACTCAAATTAAGTCAAAAATTCCTGCCAATGGAGTAAGAAAATTTTACTTGGTAAGATTCTTAAAATACTTCATTTGGCTCAATGTTTTCTTATTTCAAGAATCTTACCAAGTAAAATTTTCTTACTCCACTGGCAGAAATGTTTGACTTAATTTGAGTCAAATTTTCAGACTAACAAGACAAATAATCTTACYCATTCTGAAAACAAGATTATTATTCTTACACAATCAGTTCTTGTTTAGTAAATCAGTCTCAAAACAAGATCAAAAAGACTTTTTGGCTGATATAAGATTTTAAAACTTGGTAAGATGAACAGTGACCGCTGGATATGGGCACCAGTGACCCTGAAAGTTAGAAACAGGTATAGATTATGGATGGATGGATAAACAAAAAGTATTTGTTTTGTCTCGTTTTGTTATTAAAAGATGCATTGATGTCCATTAAAAAAAACTGTTTAAATCAAATCTGTCTCTGTGCGTTCGACCTGCAACACATGATTTAAAACAGCAGATATGTAATCTGCTACTCTGGACCATGAGTGGAAACAGGGATCGGACTCGGGCAGATCAGTATTCCACATCTTTGTTTAAAGAAATGGATGCTGTGTGCTTTGGACCAAAACGAGAGGAGAAGAATCCAGACTGTTGTCAGCACCAGGTCCAAAGGCCCAGTTCTGTGACGATCTGGGTTTTTCAAAGCTCATTTCCTCCTCTGGGATGGGAGCGTTCGAAAAGTCCAGCAGAGACTTCAGCAGCAACATCTGCTGCCTTCAAGTCCACGTTTTGTTCTCTGAGACGATGTAAAACCACCGTCTGCTCACGTTCTGAAGACTGAGCAAAACGAGGGTACGGGTTCTGATGACCCACCTGCAGCCCCTCTTTAAAGAAAGCTGTTGTTGGGGGGACTRTAGGACTTGTTTGCAAGAAGAAAGGGACAAAATAACACTTGAACCCCTTCATCACTAAACAACCTTTAAATGTAAAATAAACCTGATGAGTCAAAACATGAAATATCTTGTGCTCAATTAAAAAAATCAGCTTTTTTATTTTAATACTTTAGTTTTTAGACAACAAAAATGATAAAAATGGACTAAAACATTGAAATTTTATCTCTGAGAAAAACATTCCCTCTCTTCATGTAATGTTTTTATATTCTCATTAACCTTTTTTAAAATGCATATGGTGTCAATAATTATTAAGCTTTCATGTAAAATTGACCCATTTATAAAACTGACAAAAAGATGACAAGTAAAACAGTTTCATAGGCAAACATTCATCTTTTTATTTTACACACATTTCCTTTCCTTTGACTTATAAAAACACACTGAACACAGATGGAAAACAGATCGTCTGCATCAGATTGTAAGACAAGACAGAATTTTAACCGACTGAAACTGGAAACAGATGCGATGAATCCGAATCAGAGCGATGAGGTGCTGACCACCATCCAACCAGAGACTGAGCCGGCGGCTCTTTCGTCCAAGGTTTTCATCTGCACACCTCAAATCACTGTGACCGGAGCAAGGCATCTGTTCTGAGCAAATTCTGCCGTTACATCTTCTGACCTCGTTCCACCAGCACACGAAGCTCAACACTCCGGCTTATTACTGTTGTGAATAAATGAAAAACATGCACGTTTGATYACTACATTAAAAACTGAATGAGTGAATGCTGAAAGCGTGCCGTTCTGTGAAAATTTGCTCAACTAAACTAGTGCGTCTTAAACGAACCCATGTATATGAAAGCAGGAACTGCAGCAGAAAAAACAACCACCTTCAGTTTGAATAACTACAACTTCCAGGAAAAGACAAGTAGTCAGAAAATAATCCAGTCAGAATTAAGACTATAATATGAAAAACTAATCTATGATTGTGATGTAGAGTGAAGGTTGAGCTATTAGTGTCAGCTCATAAATATAAAACCTGAACTGTTTCTACAGAACAAAAAACTGCATCAATGGTGAAATTCAGCTTCTCAAATGTTTTACTTCTGCTTCTCTGCTGGTTTTTTTATTTTTACCAAAACTGTTGTTTGTACTGGCAGGTCAGTGCAGTTTTAGGACCACTGGCTCCACTTCTTAAATTTACACAAAAATAAATTAACAAAGATTGGTAAATGTGCCTCTGTTTGTGCAAAATAAAATAAAACATTCCAGTTCGTTGACATAAAAAATCAGTTTAAGTCGACTGTTTTTCCAGTCTAAAGGAATTAAGGTGCAGTTATTCTGCAATGTTTGTAGCTGTTGTTTTAATGGGACCAATAATTTAATTTAAGATGAGATTCATGTTGAAGCGACTAAATCTTCCAAAGCACGTGAAGTGTAAGCAGCTTTACTAAAAAAATAAAATAAAAGTAAAAATAAATGAGTATAAATAATCAAATATCTGAGTCTGGTTGTTTTAAGATGAGCCTCAGAATGTAGAAAAGTCCAAACATTATTACAGAGGAGCTCTTCGCTGACGCTTCTGCATCATTCAACAGTGAAAACGGTTCGGCCCAGTTGTGTGTGTGTGTGTGTGTGTGTGTGGGGTGGGGGGGTTGGTAAACGTCTACATGTTAATGACAAAGACAAAGCTCCTCTGAAGTAACCGGCGTAACATCTGGGCAACAGTTTGACAGAAAGAATGTGGGAAACTGCGTGTGGATCGATGCCAACCGAGGGATTTAACGACTCGATAATGAGATCAAAACTGAGCATTTCGTTCGCGTAAAAAACCAAAACATCAATTTGTAAGCGGAGCTGTGAGATCAGCAGGTGAACGAAGCACAGGGAAACTCTCAAAGGCCGACCTAATCCCGGGGGGATTTGTTTTTCATCCTGACATTAAGTCGAAGCTGGAAAACAGGCTGTTTGAAATTAAGCCGAATGTTCTGCGGAAGCAAAAATCACGGAGCAGCTTTTTATTTGAGTGGAAAAGATGAACTGATCAGATGTCGACCCGTTCGTTTGTGCTCCTAAAGTTCCAAAAGCCACTTTAAAGGGGCAATATTATGTGTTTCTCAGGCATATATTTAAATACTATACCATAATGAAGTATCTATGTCACCTTTAGCTGCTATTAAAATGCTGTTTTTATGTTTAAATAGAAAATAAACTTATCCTCTCATCACTTCCTCTTCTAAATGCCTTGAAATTGGTCTCTGACTCTTTAAGAACCACCTTCCGCTTCTGTCTCACCCATTTCGGTGTGGGGGAGGGGGGGCTGCTATGATGCAGTTCACTTGGGATTTGGAAATACATTTCCTCAAAGGTATTTTGAATCTGAAAAGAGCTTCACTGAGTGAAAAGTAGTGGAGCTCAGCAGAGAGTTAGGTTTCACTTTCACTTTCACCCGAGAGCCTGCAGGAGTCATGGGCGGGGTGTGTGGGGAGGGAGGAGGGGGTGCGCTCTGCCATGAGGGAGTTTGGCTTAAAGACACGTCCCAGAGGCGTTTCTGGTCCCAAAAGGCGTTTCTGGTCCCCACCTGTCGTTTTGCTCCTCAGCATGGCTTCCTAAAAACGTTGCAGGATTTCTCAAACATGCATGAATGAGTCAAAGCAAGGCTTTGGGCATGTTTTTGATGAGAGTATAACATTATATAAAACTCAAAAAAGTTGATTTTACATGATATTGCCCTTTTAAATGAACTCTGAGTTTATATTAAAACATTAAAGGTGGAGAACAATGTTTGTTCTGTGTGAACAATCGCACCACAAAAAGAAAAAAAAGGAGTAAAGTTAAGCTAGTGCAAAATATCAACATGTAAAATATTAAAAATCAATTTGGGATTTTAAAAAACTAGATTTTAGCAGCAAAAACAGGCACAAATACAGTTTCTCCTCCAGGCTTACTGGTTTGTTGAAGCTGATTAGAACTTTTATGTGTGAAAAGTTGAGATCAACAGCAAACGAATGTAAGTTGCTTTTGTTCCAGAGGGTAATTCTTTAGAGTTTAATTGTATGAATGATAATGAGAAACCTTTTTAGCGTTTGCTTGTTTCCAGTCATTAACAAAAGGAGCACGTCCTCGTCTGTCTCGTCCTTCACGACTCCTGCCGCCTGCCGTAGCTCTGCTCCAGCCACTGCCGCACATTCTTCAGGTTGTAAAAAAACGGTCCCTTCCCCCCCAGGTAGGCGATTTTTCTTTGGTGCACGATACACACCCGTTCGTTGGACACGCCGTAAGCCACGTTGGCATTGTTGTCCATGCAGTCGGCCACCAGCTGGCACTGCGGCGGCAGGGAGAACTCCTCGATGAGTCTGCGAGCGGCTCCCATCCTCTCCTCCAGGTTCTGGTGCTTGCGGAAACTGAAGGAGCAGGGCCCCATCGGGGGGGCCACCCAGCCGTCAGAAGGGTGGGCCTCGTCGATGTAGACCAGCAGAAAATCCGCCACGTCACTGAAGTCCTCCACGAGTTGCCGGAAAGCAGGCAGGTGGCTGACGAAGGGGGGTCAGGTGGCCGAGCCGAAGTTGACCACCAGAGGGCGATCCGTCGACTCAAAATCCAGAAGGCGGCATTCGTCCTCGGTTCGGATCCGGGCGCCTCGTGGGACGTTGGTCATGTTACTGATGTTCCACCATGGTGCATCAGGAACCTTCACCACCTTGGAGTTCGGTGCCTCGCAGCCAAGTTTCACCTGGGGAGGTAAAAAAATGTTTTACTTTTCATGCTTTGGATGTAAAATGTTTGTACTTTCAGATCCCAAGGCTGCATTTATTATAGTTGCAACGTACGTTTAAAGGATCTTGAATATATTGTATTAGGAAACAAAGTAAATAAAACAAAAGAAATAAAGCATATTTATCTGACAGGTCGAGTTTAGATCAAATATAAATAATCATTTTAAACCAGAATTGGGCAAAAAGACTGTTTTATTTTCTGTTTTCTTTATTAGGCTAAACCCATCTCTGGCAACAATCAGCAAGTGTAGAAGTGCACTCTAAAAATGAAATGTTGGATTTACTTAACCATGTTATGTTACCTGGTTCCACTTAACTGAGTTGAGTAAATTCAAAGCAACATATTCATGTTKTTTGGCTAAAAAACTGGTATATTGCTTTGAATTTACTCAACTCAGTTAAGTGGAACCAGGCATCATAACATGGTTAAGTAAATCCAACATTTCATTTTTTACAGTGTATAAACATGTCTTAAAGGGATAATCTGGTCGTTTTTGAAGTGATTCTCTGTCATGTAGTTATCTTTCGTTTCAAAGGTTTGTTAGCCTGGCCCTTGGCTTATTGTACAGTTCTGCTCAGTTCTAGTTTCCCTTCTCTTTTCCATCTGTTTCTCACATAGACAAGAATTTCTCTGGTAGAATTTCAACCAGGCCAATCAACAAACAGGAGGAGGAGTTGTGACCGATCTGCCTGTAGTTTATCAGAGGACGTAAATGAAGTCAGTCCGTATTGACAATGCTTCCAAATTAAATTAAATTTGTCTCTCAAAGCCTGCAGCATCATTTACAGCCGCCTGGCTCGGCTCGGTTCTTCTCTCCTCTCAGTAGGGCTGTTTACAGRGCACACAGTTTCCGGTTAGCTTCTTAGCTTAGCTTCCTTCACGGTTGAGTTGGTGTACTACATCACGGTCAATTTGTAATAACTTTGCAGATTTCTATAACTCAGGGGATGGCAATCCTGGTCCTCGAGGGCTGCAGCCCTACAGGTTTTATGTTTTTCCCTGCTCCAACACACCTGATTCACACATTGAATTACCTCGTCCAAGCTCTGCAGTATGGAGGACCGACACTGACATAACTAGAAAAAAAAGCAGAAATATATAAATGGACCAATAAATAAATTCTGTTAAAAATATGCCAATTAAATTAAAAAAGGAGAGCTTTATTTCATGTTTTACAATTTAATTGACCTTCATATTTATTTTTCCA